AAACATGCATCGTTGTGTTTGTAGATGTAAATACCAGCTCTTTGTAGTTGGAGGCGGTGAAGTTGGGGTGTCCATAGGGAACCAGGAGCAGCTGGCCGTAGGAGTGGATGGTGAGGAAACACAGGAAGTCTTCCTTCCGGCTTCCTACAAAATAAGTGACGGCCTGGGCCTCAGGCTCAGACACTGCCTGGGTGCCGCAGTAGATGTCTGAGCAGCAGTCATTCGATACCCCGATTGCTGTGAAAGCATAATCTGAATCAAATGGGACACAACTTCTTCTCGTAACAGCCTGAGCAAGTTCACCTTTTTACGTGTAAAAGCTTCGGTGTCACATGTTCAAATCTTAGAAAATAAATGTATTCAATGTAAATGTACATAAAACACTTTAGTTTAAAGCTAAATTAAAATATTTGTGGCCACTTGGGGGCAGCAGAAACAACCTGTAAAAAGAACTTGTCAGGTAATAGTTACCTATGTTGACCACCCAAAGATTATACACTGAATTCATTAAATTATAAAATAAATGTAATATAAAATTAAACAAGAAATCCTGTGAAAGAGCATCATGGGACATTAAATGAGTCCAGCAGACTCTTATTGGGTATTTTTCACGATTATCAAAGCAACAGGCTGTATGAAGAAGGAAATGGAGAACCACGACGACACTCACTGCCCCAGTTGGCGTTAAAGTTGCGGTTGAGATCGGTGCCGTAACATTTGCAGCTGCTGTTTCCTGGTGACCTGTTCTTCCTCCACAATCGATTCTAAACGGGTCAAAATGAGTCCGTTAAATCAGCTGGTTCTAACCTAATCAGATCGTTCTAACAACTGTGTACATACTTAAATGCTGCCTTGAATTGCTGGATGATTTTGTACTTGGGCCATGTTGAACATCAGAAATCTCTATATATTTTTTACTTAACTGAGGCACAACTCAGAACCATTAAAAAAAGTATTTTTTTTAATCAAATACAAGCACGAACTGTCTCGTTAGTCCAGGAGTAGATGTAGCCATCCACGTTGAGCACAGGGGTCACGTAGAAGTCCATGTTCTTCATCATTTCTCCCATTTTTGAGTCTGTTTTGTATGCTTCCAGGATCTTGTGAACAAAAACATCAGGTCAGATTGAGGTATCGGAGGATATGCGGGATATAAACTTCAACGTCATCCACTTTAGACATGATGTTCTTTTACCTGTCTGACAAAGTACTGACAGAAGGCCGGGGCGATCCATTCCCTGGCATGTATCCCACAGTCCATCCAGATAGCTTTCTTTTTCTCTCCAGTATTCTCACCAATCTGCAAGACAAATTCTTCTTATTTTACTGGTTAACACAAACACATGCAAAAACATCACTACGCTCCTGTATCCGTCTGATATTTGCTCATTTCTGACCTGAAACAGTTCAAAGTTTGCTTTACCTTGAGCAATTTAATAACCCTCTTCTCATAGGTCTGTCCGTATTCCACTATGCTCACAACATTAGGGTAATCCTTCGCCATCTGACCCATCCAGTTGCTGATCTATAGAGGGCGGCATTGTTACACATGAGAGTTTATCTGTGTGTGTGTGTGTGTGTAGTGATCTGTCAAAGAAATGTGTGTGAGAGCAGTGATCAGGCCTTCTCACCTCCGGCATGGGATGATATTTGTAGTAGTCATGCGCCACTCTGTTGCACAAAATATATGAGACACATGAGAAGCAGTGGTTTTCTGAAATACAGTATGTCATACCTCAAGAATATTATAGCAAATTATAGTTTTATAATTATTATAGTTACGGATGAACAGATTTTAAAGTTACAAGTGACAGTTGATTATTAGTTGAGTATTGGCTTTCTTGCAGAGATGTAGAGGAGAACATTGATGCCACTCTCATGTCTGTATGGTAAGAGATGGCTAGCTTAGCGGGATGGGGAGCAGGGGGAGGAGTGGTTCTTTCCAAGGGTATATAAAGACGTACAGCACCTCTAAAGTAGGGGTGGGCGATACTGGGAATTTTGGTATCGATCCGATACCAAGTAAATACAGGCCTAGTATCGCCGATACCGATACTTTTTACTTGTAACGTCACGATCATTGAATCATTTTGTGATTTTGCCTTTAGTTAGTTGATTATGATTATGATAAAACACAGGACAAAGATTTTGGGCAAATCTAAATGTTTTTTATTTACTAACTAGAACAATATAAAACAATGTAACGGTATAAAAATAATATAACAATTTTAATTACATAACAATAACTATTTTGAGTTCCAGTGAAACAATTAAGATTTTTTTCAACTGGCTGAATTTATGATAGTAGTTTAATCAGTCTGCTAAAATTGCCTCTCTGATCACTGTGAACAACAATGCTTAATGCTGGAGATTACCTGGATACTCCTGATTTCTTGGCTGAAAAGCCTCTGTCTCTGTGTTGGGGGTCTGGTTTGGGGTTCTCCCCCCTATTCCTCCTCCTTCCTCAACTTTTTCTGCAGCTCGGAGTTCTCTCGAGGGTGAACTGCTTTAATATGTTTATACAAATTGGTGGTGTTACCACAGTGGCGAATTACTTTCTTGCACACATCACATGTGGCAGTGTCCCTATCAGCTGTAGTGAATAAAGTCCACACAGCGCTTCTCTTTCTTTC